CCATGCCTGAGAACTCAATTTCCCGTTGACAATTTTTGGTGTAGAAGGTGGCAGTTTTGTCCTCACACCCTGCGCCACTCCTTTTCTGTACGGGCTAAGATCAAAACACTAGGGTTAGTCTCGAGAATGGGCGACGGCCTCAATATTTTTGAGGTGAATAAACTTATCTTGTGGAGCAACGACCTCATTCAGGTCTTCAAGAATGGAGAAGATGTCAATACGTTGGAGCAACTATCAGAGCGCTCCCATTTCCTTCAATCGCAGTGTAATGCTGATTTTAACGACGCTCAGAGGTCCATCGAGGGTAATTAATAAATCTCGTCTCTTTTCCGCTCAAATTATTTAAAAAAAAAAAACTTTCTTTTGGGTGGTTCTGCAATGCTGCATTGGAGCCTTGCCTGAGATATCAAGTCGGATAAATTTAGAGGTGCAGCCCCCCTAGAAATAAGAAATCTTGCAGAGACTAAGGGTCGTTTCCATGAGCTAAATTGTTGAATTCAATGTTAGTGTTATTTATTTTGTTTGTTTTTTATAAACTTTCCTTCTGCCTAAATGCTCAAACTTACAATATGCTCACAAGTGAAGGCTGGTGTGGCTGTTTACTATATGTTCATAATTGAATACTAGATTACTAGTATGATTTTAATTTATTATTGGATTTGAGGTATTCTTTTGGGACTAAGGCTTGGATGTTGTTGTTGTATTGGATTTGAGGTATCTGGATTGCTTTTGATATTAAAGGCATGGTATGTTGATTTTTGTGCACCCCATGCTTCAGATTATGAAAAGAAGCTAGTTGCGTGCAAACAAAAAACTGTGGAAGCACTTTGTGAAGCATCAAGTGATGTTGAAGTAGAACCACTGCAGAAAGAGCTTGAAGAGGAGCTTCAAAGAAAGATCATGTTGATAGAAGAGCTGAGATGAGTATCTTCACTATCCTAGGCTGACGTTTTTTGATATCTTAGAATCTTTTACTTGTGAAACTGATCAGTGGTTTGTTTTCCCATATGTCATCACAGTTCTGTCTGAGGAAATAAATGATTTAGAATGTCAAAGAGAGTCCATTGAGGAACGAAGGAAATGCCTTAAACAGCTTGAGCGAGATTTCTCTAGAGCAGAGTAAGCTCATCTGAACATTTCATATATTTCATTGTGAATATTACATAATTATAACATTCATGAACATTACATACATGAATGTTATCCTAAAAGAAATCTTAATTGTGATGTCTTGCTAAAGTATTAAGCTATCAATATGAATGATGGATTCCTATTGATGGGGGGTTTGCATAATAAAGTGCAAACCAAATTGTAATTGTGATCTCATGGTGTCATGTTAAAGTTTTCAAACTATATGAATGATGGATTCCTATTAATTGAAGTTTGATGTCATGCTTTATTGTGCAAACCAACCTCACCGTTCTTTTAATTCTATATTAAACAATAATCTGAATTGCCCATTATACAAATAGCACAAGTAATGTTTATTTTTTAATGGCATATTCAGTTGTCACTTTAAGTCTTCAAGCACTAAAATTCTTACTCTTGGCATATGACTTGTTTTTTACATTTTTTACCATTTCGGGCCTTACTAAAAACTGATGAGAAACCCGATATACGGGGAGAGTTCAGCCCCCCCCCCCCCCCTGATCTACATATATCACACACAAAGCTGCAACTGGAAAAAGAAAAGCAAACCAAAACCTTATTAGTAAAAGATTCAGTTGCTTTTAGCCAACCAAAATCAGGTGTTGGAAAAAGTGAACATAGTTACCCTAATTAGGATAAAAGACACTGTGAAATTTCAAAATAGAAGTACCGTGTTTTCCCCTAAATAAGAGTGATCACTATCCTGCTTGGAAAATACTGCCAATTATGTAATTAATTATACCATATTAATGCTTGGTAATGCCAAAATATGATAGCATGATTTCAGCGTGAGAGTAATTTCTTTCTATTTAGGGGGAACATAACACCCATATTTTGGAATTTCACGTTGTTTTGTAATTAATACTACCTAAATAGGAGTAGTCACTATCATGCTAGGGAAGTACTATCAATTATGCCATTAATATAATATAGGCATATTAATGCCTGGTAATACCAAAATATGGTCATATACTCGTATGGTTTTAAGATGAAAGTAATTTACTTCTGTTCTGGGGAGACAAAATCACCCATATATTGGAATTTCACTTTGTTTCTGTGCCTCTTTCGAAAAATTGCCCAGATTGAAATTTATTTTTTCCTCTAGAAATGTGTTGCCTGACAATATTCAGTTGATCCTGATTAGAGATTCAAACGAAAGCACAGGAAGTGACCAAAAACAAGGTCGTGTGCCAAACGCAATCTGAATATCAGAGAACCAGTGTGTGATTGACCAAATGTTCATGGGGCCAAAAGTGGCAAAATTTTGGGTGTTTTTTTAATATTTTCTGCCACTAATTATTCGCAGAACCCCTTTTCCCCACCATCACCTCATGTGCCTGGTAAACAGGTAAAGTAATAACGACCCTTTTTGTTGTGATTTTGCAGGATGAAGTTATCATTGCTTGCCTCAGTTACAAACATTGTTCCAAGCTTGGATGATCAATCAAAAATATCTGGCTGTATCCTTATTGAAAATTTGAAGAATGGAGTATATTTTTATTCTTATTTTCCTTTCTTGCCTTGTTTGATAGTCCTTCACTCGGCATAGATATTGTCAAGAGGGATAAGTTGCTAGACAATTTTGACTTTGATCCGAAAAAGATGTCTGAGTTCGAAATCTGTAACCACATTTGGAAGATGATAAACTCCTGACACAGTGTAACACGGTGACACAGCAACGGGAAACATCATGTTCAAGAAAAAATGTTCGAAGAGTTTCCAAACGCAAGAACAATGTCTCGAAAGCTTCACGTATCACAGCATTGTACTTTCTTGGGCATAGTTTTGTGTCACGGTGTGGCAAAGCATCTTTAAATTGCCACAACAATTCAATTTTTTATTGTAACTACCTGTTGTACTAATGCCCAACATCACTTATGGTTGTCCCCTTTTTATCCTCATAGAAGTACATGTTTCTCTGGATTTGAAATGAATATTGAATATAGTTTTGTAGTTTGTCTTTTTCAATTCTTGAATAAATTTATCTCTAAATATTTGTTGAAATTCCCAGTTAAGAGTTATGACCATGAACCATATAATTGGGTTTGTTTGTACCCCATGCAATATGGTTGCACTGTATTTAATTCTAGCACTTTTCTGATCAACGTAGGTTCTCACATTTCAGGCTATTCTTTAAAGGAAACTTGACAGGAGTATAATGTGGCATATCCGATGCAAATCATGCAAGTGCGTTGATTGTATGTAAGCTTGTTAGGCTATACGTCGTACAAGGTTTGGGGTTTTCACTTCAATCTAAGCTGAGATGTCCCAAGCATTCATCTTTTCATAGTCTTGCTGTCTTTTTATTACTCCGTATTTTTTATGATTTTATTATTAATTACTACATTTCAAAAGCTACAAGGGTATCTTTGTCCAAACACGCATAGATAGTCCTACTAGGGGGGTTAAAAACATGTAGTCCTATTTGTGCTCCTGGACCACTTTTTTGACCGATTTAGGTAATTAACGCTAATATTTGTGTAGCTTTAGACATGTGGTTTTTTTTATGGACACGTCTTATTATAGACAATCATTGATACGATTAAAAAGCGTACGTAGTAATATATACTTTTTGATGTACCGTGTACTTTATAGATAATCCATGCATCGTAATTCTTATATTTTTTATAAAATTAATTAATGATTATGGGGGCGTTTGTTAGTTGGCGTTTTCTGCGTCAAACGCTGGAAAGATCAGGGGCGGAGCTAGAGGGGTGGCCAACCGGGCCACGGCCCGCCCCAAATTTGAAAATTCTTTGTATTTTTAGTCTAAAAATTTATGTCAAAAAAAATTATCTGAAAAATTCTTTGTACCGGCCCAGTCCAACCTTCAATCCTAACTACGCCCCTGGGAAAGATCAACGTTTACCAATTTAAGAAAACGGCATTTTCATTCCAGATGCCAAATACCGAACAAACCCTATAAGAGCAATTTGTTTCGCTAAAAGTTAGTAATATAGACTCAAAATTAAAGGAAAATAACACCAAATGTAACGCAAAAACAAAAATTAGAACGAGTATAATGCTAAACAAGTGGAGTTTGGTGTACACACTATTTTGTTTACACAATTTTACAAATGTCTGTGTAGGGATGTTTTCTTTTGGACTGTTTTCAGTCCCAGACCAGATCAGACCAGACCAGATTTGACTTTCGTAATTATAAAATACACAGAGACCAGACGTTTACCAGACCAGATTAGACCAGAACAGACCAGACTATCAAATTTCAGCCAAAAGAAAACATCCTAGATTTTACAAAAAAGCCTACACAATCATGTGTAAAAGTGTGTACGCTAAAATGATGTGTACATTTTTTTTTTTGTATTAAAAAAGCAAGATGGGTGCGGATTTGAAGTTTTGAACCATCAATTCCCTGCTCGGAATCGGTAAAATCTTTCCGTGAAAACCTCCCCAAATCAGCGCCTGGAACTCCGCACACCCGACCAAACTATACGCCGCACTAGACTAAAATTGTTCAAACCAATTGCATCACTAATTAAAAACACCTTTGCCTATGACAACTAATTCACCACATAAAATTCATGTGCATGCCGCTATGGCTGGTGGACCCATGACACGTACCCCGTGCATTCTTTCCTCACTTTTATCGTGAACACTAAATATTTTAGATACATACTATAATATTTTAGTATTATACACATTTGTTCACATAGACCAATTAAAATGCTGCAGTTTAATTATTTAAATAAAAAATAAAAATGATATAATGATTTGAATCAATCAAGTGAATGGTACGTATGATATCCCAATTTTCAAATGAGTATTAAATTTATATGCTAAAGGAATGAATTTACTCATCAAAATTTTAACATATTGAAATTTAAATATGAGCAGCTATTATAATATAAGTGTAAGCATACCCCAAAAAGAATGAATTAACGATCAAATAACCCAAATAGGCAAATAAAAATGTTTAATTACAGTATTTGATAAATGCAACAGCAAACCCATAAAATTTGTTACTGTTCAATCAAACTCACAGGGAGTAATCATTATATTAAACCTCCACCAATTGATTACAGGATTCGCCTGATTTGTTAGAACCTCTGGAATTTATCAGGCTTGATTAGAGGATTGGCCTTGGCAATCACATCTCGGCCTTGACCTTTGAAGTCAAAGGCACAGTCATGAATCTCAGGGTACCTATGGGACCCACAGTAGGTGTAGCCACACCTGCAGTTGAACCCCAGCAGCCCCACCTTCTTGTTGCAGCTCCAGCACCTGCCGGACGCGCGCGGGGCCGGCGGCGGCGACGCCTCCCTGCCGGTCGACCCATCGGGAACCGGACGGCCGGTTCTGATCCTGAGATTGGTCATTATAGGCACTTGCTCTTCCATCATCTTGCACATGTCCTTGTAGCACTTGGAGCACAGACCCTTGGTCGCCGCCGTTCCAAAGAAACCGCAGCCGTTCCGACAAAGAGACGGCGGCGCCGGAGATATGGTCCCTAACTCCGTCTCGTTTCCTACTTCCGATGATCCCATATTATTTTCTCGGTCTGTAAATTAAAGCTGGAGATATCTGATAGCAAAGAAAATAAATCTATGACAAGAGGACACAGTTATTATATATAGATTACGGCCGGTATTAGTCGGTTGGGGTCTCCTGATTTCCGAAGAACTCCGAATACAGGCCAAGATTTATTTCCAAAAATGTTATCAAACCGACTACTTCCGCGTCTTCTGTTTCCTAAAGCCAGTCACCTCTTAATTACATGGCGGGATCGGTGCAGGGCTGTTTATTGGGCTGTAAAAAGGGAAATTTGTTAAAAGAGTCCTATAACTTTGGCTAATAGCCGTGATGGATAGTCTACCCGGGGGTATCTTATCCGAGGGGTTATTGCGGGAATAACTTAGAGAGAAGTCGGAGTAAATAGGAGGAGAGAGAGTCGATTTTATTAAATGAACTTGAGATATGGAGTTGTGTGTAGATCCTCTTTTACAAGGAGAAATGGGCTGCTATTTATAGCAGCAATAAATGCGATGAGAGGACACGTGTCAGTAATCCAACGGCCGAAGGGTCACATCAACCGGTTGGCACCGGCAGTGGTACGTTTACCGCATTGAATGCGGTTGGCGGATGTGACGTGGCATTAAATGCGGTGGTTGGCTGTCTCTAAAAGGAATCTCCGATGATTGAGCGTGTTTGGCCGAAGGCTCCTTGTGTAGCCGAGGGCTCCATGTAATCGAGGATCCCTGTGCGGCCGAAGGCATGGTGTGATAGTGCCGAAGGCTCCTTGGTTCAGCCGAAGGCTTCTCCGATGCCGAGGGCTTGATAGTGCCGAAGGCTCATGTTTTTCGCCGTTTTCTCCCAGTAGCTTCTTATGCCAGAGAAGGCTACCCTGTGAGTTTTGGAGCCTTCGGCCAAGGAGGCCGAAGGCACCCCAGTGCGTATTCTGGGCTACGTTGAGGCTTGGGCCGCTGCATTTTGGGCCTGAGTTGTTCCCTGGGCCCAATGAACTTGTGTAGGAGAAGTAGGAGTCTATGGGCCGGGGGTTCCTGGGCCATATACTCCATCAGGAGTCCCTCACTCCTTTTGCCGAAAGGTACTTGAGGGAAAAAGGAGTAGATGTGTTGCTTCTTCTGGAGGCTTCATCATTTCGCTGGGTGCTTTTGCTGGAGAACTTGTCTTCTGCTGATTGCCGAAGGCTTCCCTCAGTCCCTCACATGCCGAGGGTTTTCTGAAGGAAGTATAACGCTCGTATGAATGCCGGAGCCTCTCCTCAGTCCCTCACATGTCGGGGGTTTTCTGAGGGAGGCGTAAATAATATCTGTATGCGTTGTGATGAAGGCTGTTTCATCATCGTCAGTGGCTTTGTGGAACATTTTTGATTTCAGGCCTCTACCGAAGGGTGCAATGATGCATGTACCCGAGGGATACATGCACGTGTGATTACCGAGGGGTGTGTCCCAGTCCCCCACTCCTTTAGACCGAAGGCTTAGTTCGGGCTGAAGGAGTTGTGATGTTTGCCTATGACCCCGAGGGGTAACCATTGGCTGGTGAGTGCCAATACTGATAGCCGGGGGCTTATGCTCCTGGCAGTTCGAAGGTGCTTGTCGAATTTTGTTGGCTGGAGGTTGCGGTGAGTGATAGCCGGAGGCTATCATTCGAGGGCACCCCAGTGTTGCCGAAATATAGTCGTTGTAATATAGCCGTTGGAAGAGGGGTTGACGTGGCGTGTCCTCGTTGGTTGGGGGTGGGCGGCTGCCACCCATTGGGCGATGAGGCGGCACGTAATGATGGGCTTTTCAAACCGAGGCCCAGTTCTCGAGGCCCATTTGCCTATAAATATCCCAGAACCTGAGCCATTTGTTCTTGCGCGAACTTAGAGAGATAGCGGAGCTCTGCCATTTTTCCTAGAGAGAGAAACTTCAGCCTTCGGTCAAACGCAGTTTCTGAGGTCAGTTCTTCCTCCATTCCCCATACACTTAGCGTATCTCGCTTCACTGGCTCTAGATCTAGTGTTAGGGAATACTTAGGAGCCTTCGGTTAGTTCTCTTACATTCTTTCCTTTCCCTGTTGTCGAGAAGATGTCTTCTGCCAGCGACTCCCAGGATATTTCCGTGGAGGCCCCGGTCCAATCGGAGAGTTATTCGGAGGTTGAGTCCTCAAGTGACCAATCGTCGGTTAACAATGACGCTGCCATCGCCGAGGAAGTCCAAGACACCCTTCGGACTGAGTTGGAGGCGGAGGACTTCGAGCAGGTGGCGGAAGACGAAGAGCTTGCCCTCGCACTCCAAGTCACCGAGGAAGAGGAGGAGAAAGAGCGGCTGAAGGTGACCGTCGCCGCACTCCCCCTCCGTGGCGCCGGCGAAGCCAGTAGCTCCCGGCCCCTAGATCCGGAACCGATAAGCGTCGCTCCCGGGAAAAAGAAGAAGAAGACCCAGGCGGCCCCGAAGAAGAAGCAGGCTGCCATTGACGCGGGTCAGCCGGTGGGAATACCCGAGGGCCACTCGTATCTCAACACCGCCGCCCTCGAATTGAAAACGAAGGCCGGGGAGGCGGAGTATCTCAAAACTCAACTGTTGGTTGGCCCGTCGGCACAGGTGGTGGTTCCGGGGCCTGACGATGTGCTGTTGCATCCTCCAGAGGGCTGTTACGCGGTTCACATCCTTTCGGTGGAGTTGGGTCTTCGATTCCCGCTCCACCCTTTTCTGGTAGAATACCTTCGGTTCGTGGGTCTCGCTCCTTGCCAGCTGACCCCGAATAGTCACTCGTATATCACAGGGTTTCTCTCGCAATGTCGAAGCCGAGGGGTTGTCCCCACCTTGGATCAATTTTTCCTATCTTTCAACCTGTGTCGAGGGGGGGCTGCCAATAGCGAGGGCTTCGCCAACCTCCAACAAGTGCCGGCGCGGAGGCTTTTCTCGGAGGTGCCTTCGTCCCACAAGGGATGGAAGGACCGTTTCTGTTACCTCAGGATGCCGGGAGTGACCTTCCCGAGGCCCCTTCGCAACCATTTTCAGAGACACCCTAAGGTGGGCAATGCTGCCCTTGAGGGCAATGGGAAAAAGCTGAAGGCGAAGCCGCCTGGTTCAGAAAAGCTGACGACTATCAAGGCCGCCACGCTCCCGGAGAAGTTGCTCAAACTAGAATTTCAGCGGTATCGCTTGCCGGGGGAGAAGGATGAGAGATACCCCCTCCTTGACCGGGGCCCCCCCGGGTGCTAGAGGTTGTTGCCGAGGGGCTCTGATTCTGGTACTTAATCATTTTTGTCTTTGGTTTGTTTCCTCTTTCTAACTCTCCTTTACCCCTTGCAGGTGGCATCATGGACCCGAAAGCCTTTGCTAAGCTTTCAAAGCAACTGGCCAAGGAGAAGAAGAAGGACGAGGGGCCCCCAACTCAAAGGGCTGCAGATGAATTCTTCAAGAAGCCGGAGGGGGCGAAGAACCGCGACGGTGAGGGGCCCTCACAAGCTATTGCTGACGGAGGCTCCAAGGCCGTGGAGCTTAAAAGAAAAAATGCCGGGAAGGGCTTAAAGCCTCCGGAGAAGAAGAAGGTAAGGGGGGATGCCGGGGAGAAGGCTCCCCCAGTTGTAATCATCGATGACCTTCCCTCGGGTCATCATTCGGCCTCCGCCCTCCCGGAGGAATTTGACGAGGGTGCCTGGCCCTTGGAGAATGTGCAGTTTCCCATTAAGAAGGGGACTGCCCTTATGCACGGCACCCTCGATCTGAGGGAGTTCCTGAGAGGTGCAACCCCCCCGCTCGATCGCTCCACTCTTGGCAGGTTCGCGGATGAGTCCCTCGAGCTCAAGGCTCTCCAGGCTTCAGTCACTGTAAGTGTTTCATTCTTCTGAAATGTTTTGCCTTTGTGTCTTTTTTCTTTTGCATATTCTGACCCTGACCGCCCCTCTTCCCTGACTTGCAGGCTAGCGTGGCCTTCGGGGAGCTTGTTAGGAGGGCGGAACAGCACCGCCTTGAGAAGGCAAAGTCCGACGAGGCCATGAAGAAACTCGTCGCCAACAATACCGAAGCCATCAGGCAATTGGCCGGCCTGGAAGAGGCCCTCCGGCAGGCTGACCAGAGACTGGAGGCCGCGAAGCAGGAGGCCCGGGCCGAGGGAAAAGCTCAAGCGGAGAAGGCTGCTGCTGAGGCCGCCAAAGCTACCGCCGAAGCCGCCGAGTCCGCTAAGAAGGAGGCAGTAGCTGAGGCTGTCAAGGGGGCTATTGACGCCTTCAAGGCTGGGGAATGGAGGGCTGAGGGCCACAAGGAGTGGATGGCCTCGGTGATCCCGGAAGTCGTCGAAGGGTGGGTGACAGGCCCCGGAGCATTGTGGCTTGCCCGGAAGGGAAAGAGTTTTTATGAGGGCGGTGAGTTTTTCACGCAGGCCAACCTCTACCGGAAGCTGGCCCGTCATTTTGGCGTGGAGCCGAAGGAATTCAAGCCCGAGGCCTACGGTCTCCCTCCCCTTCAGCCAGACGTGAGGATCCCCTTTCCCGAGGGCACGGAGAGGGTGCTTCTTGAGGACTCGGAGCTCCTTAACTGTGATGATGATGATGAGGAAGCCGGGGAGGAAGCTGCTTCGGAGCTGAAGGAGGATGGAGCCGAGAATGCCCCAGCTTGAAATTTCTTTAAGTACACTTTTGTAATAGCCTGTAGTCTCCGGCCTCGGTCCATTGTAAAGAAACATCCTTTGTATTTGCATACTTTGAATTCTTATGGCGATTAATGTTTTGCCTTCGGGCTTTTTTTGAATGAATGCCTCCTGTGTCTGATTTGTGTTTGCCTTTGCTTGAATGAACGTATGTTTTTGGACTTAGAAATTTTTCTAAGTAAAACCTGGCAGCGAGCCTCCTGTTGTAGTGTGGAATTATCGGGGGCTTGTTGTTGTGGACTTGGAAAATTTTCCAAGTAAAACTTGATCAGAACCCTTCGGATGTAGAGTAGAATAGCCGGGGCTTGAAGCTATGGACTTAGGAATTTTTCTAGGATCCCAGTGTATGTCCTCGGTGGCTAGCCATTGGAATTGCCCCCGGTCTGTGGAGGATCGAGGGCTAGAATGACTTAGACTTAGGTTACTTTCCAAGCTAATATTACCCTAGCCCCTCGGCGGTGTCAAGCCTCCGACCAGCGTAGCCTTGGTGTAGCTTTAGGGCCTCGTCGAATATTTTGAGGTCTTCTTCGGCTGTAAACCTGTTGGTAGTAGTGGGGCCCACGGTTGTCCGCCGAGGGGTTCCCAATTGTGGACTTAGTCATTTTTCCACAAACTTTCAATAGGTGTTGTAGCGATCCTTCGAA